CAACTCTACTCGTCACCCTGATCACTTTGGTTTATATAACCCTATATCTGACTCTTTTAGTTTTAGGACTTACAAACAACCGTTATGTTAACAAAATTATAATACTCTCTTTAGCAACTTTGTTGCGAGAGTATAAAAATGAGCGAAATCGGACAACAACCACGCCTACTTCCCATGTAACACAATTTTAAATTCCACTTGATTCTTTCAATTTCCAGTACAGAAATCAAGAAGCAATAAACATATTGGGATTAAACTTTGCACAAATATAGCCTTTAGTGTATGCCACCTTATGACAAAAATTGCTCAAATCCAACCAAAACTGTTCAAGACCCTACTTACATTCGGTACCCCAGTACCTATAGTTGACTTCCGTTCGAAGATATAGGTCTATGTGTGAGATATGGAATAGAAATTCAAACAGAATCCTTTTCCTGCTGTAGTAATTCCGTGTGTCCAAAATAGGGGGAATCGGGTCAGTACTTCCCAGAGCCCCAATATACCTAATATAAAGATTTTAAAATTTCCTGTTGACTTTATGCTAGATGTAATATGTCGGCCAATATTTTAGTTATCTCAATGAGAATTTTAGAACGCATAACAGTATATTATTGGGAATAAAATGGGTATAATTGGGTGAAAACTTGACCTAGCCACCATATAACCATTACCAGAACTTTCGAACATCCGGCTGATTTAGTGTAATGACTATGTTTAACGTTTTTCTAACAAATCTTATGCCGAATATATATGTATGTAGGTGAGTGTATAAGTTATATATGGTGCAGGAATATATAAAATCGCTTAGATTCGATCTACTGGTTGACGTTTCCCATCGTAAGCTTTGATTAATGTAAGTTGCATAAAATTTTCGGTTGCACCCTAACTTAGGCCTTTCCTACTTGTTAGAGTTAATTTCATATAAACAAAGATATGGAAGGTATTTTCACTACATTTATTCAAATAGATCCGTCTTTAAGACCAAGCTAAAACATAACTTCTGCATACCTAAATGAAGAGATATAAGCTCATATCTTGAAAGTAGAATATGTACATACCTATTCACTTAAATTGTGGTGTATATTAGAGCTCTTAAAATTATTCGAATATCCATTTTGTAACCGTTTTTTCGATTATTATTATTCGAACAATGAATACCCTAGTCAGTTAATACGGTTATTCGAATAGTCAAATACCAAGAGCTCTAGTGTATATACATATGTATTTTTATGTATTGCTAGATGCAAATATTTTGTAAAATATTATACACAATTAGAACATCTGTTCTTCTTTCCGACTTTACAAAATATCTAAAATAACACAATCTTTAACCAAAACTATGAGAATTCAAATTTAAAGTTATGTAGCATACTTTATTCTAAAAATGTTCTTTATTTACAGTTTACATTTACAACGTTGATCAATCAATCGTCCACACTTATTAAGTAAATTGAGAAGGAGGCTTTAAACCAGACTACGTACATCTGCAACATAATTAAATAGACGTTTTTTGCTTATTGCGAATTGTATAAAATCCAATTACCCAAGCCTAATAATTGGCCTTAACATTACAAGGTCACAGCAAATCCAATTCCACACCAAAATAATAGAACACACATAGATAAAAACTCGTCCACATAAAAACAAAATGCAGTGCAGCCTAGAACAAATGAATGACTGCGAACGTTCACCGAACCGGACCAATCTTCGTGTCAACTTTAATGAGAAAGGAGCTGAAGTAAAAGAGCGACGCGAAAAATTTCTCACCGCCAAGTATGGTTCACATCAAATGAGTCTGATACGCAAGCGTTTGGCTGTTGAAATGTGGTTGTATGATGAACTGCAGAAGCTCTTTGATCCACCGGTAAGCTGCAACGTCTGATAGTATTATTATTTTTAATTCTTATATTTTCGTTTTGCAGAGTGAGGCTATTGATGTGGATATTGATGAAATTTTAGACATGGATACCGATGATATAAGAAGATCACATTTAATAGTAAGTTAATTATTTTTAATTGATTTTATCTGTGCATTTTAAGCAATACATTAAACCTAAAAATTAAATTATTATACTATAATTATTTAATATTTTAAACCTCAACATTGAATTATCAGAAATGAGAATAGAATAGTATTATATATTAGGTAATAGCGTTAATAAGAATAAAACAAGAAAAAAGTTAACCTCGGTTGCTGTAATACCCTTACAAAGGATTACTTACAAAATTAATCCATCTGAACAATTTCTTCGGCTATTTCGCTATTGTCTTGGACAATAAGTCATGCAAAATTTCGTGAAAATATCTCCTCAGATGAACAATTTTTCCATACAACTACTTGTTTCCGATCCTTCAGTTTATACTATAGTAATGATAATAAAAGAGATTGCATTATAGTCACAGGCAATAACCAATGTTTCGTGAATATGTCTCGTCAAATTCCCATACAAGCACTTGATTCCAATTAGTAGCAATCAGATGTGAAAAATTTCTTCGGAAATTACATCATTGTCATACAAATACTTTATTCCGATCGTTCAGTTTTTATGGCAGCTATATGGTATAGTGGTCCGATACTAACAGTTTCGACAAATGAGCAGGGCGGTGCATAATATGAGGTCGATTCCTCAAAAAATAAGTGACCAGTTCGTATCTAAACATTCGGATGGATGAACAAATCGACGCACTTGGCTACATCGAAATTAGTAGGGTCTCTAACGTTTCTTTTTGGGTGTTACAAACAATGTAGCAAATTTAATATACATATGCTGTTGAAGGTATAACTTTTTCGATTTTAAGTCTTAAGAAGGTTTCGTCTTTAATATTTTAAATTATATATACTGTGTTTGGGACATAAAAAAAACTCGTGAATGAAAAGAAATTGTACAAAATAACAATTAAAACCCCAAAACTTCATTATTTGAAATTTTAACGTAAATTTTAAATTTCGTCCTAAAGATTGTGATTCAAAAGTTGGCGGTCCTTTTATTGCCTGAGACCCTCTAATAGGTTTAATTTACATATCTCCATCCATTCCATTCCCAATAAACCAGTACTGTTAAAAACTACTCAAAGTTCGATAAATCAATAACTAAATAGGTCAGTGATATACAATTTAGCAAGCTGACATAACTCAGGTCTGATTTCAACCAAATTCTGTCCTACTTTGTGCCTAAAAAGGACAAACTTGGGCGAAAACTTTACCCAGCTCTATATAACATCCGGGAAACTTTACTCCATATGTTTGGTGATGGTATGAGAGGTACCTTCGTGACTCTCAAGGAACCTTTTATTAGCACGTGGCAAGTTAATAATATGTAACAGTGACAAAAATATATAAAATCGTTTCGATACTACCAACCCCATATGCTACATACATATGTCTAATGATTTTCGTTATTCTAACAAACATTTTTCGAGTTAGTCTTGAATTGACAATAGAGGTCAAATTGTATACAAATTTCTTTCGTTAACTCGAAATCTCTCTAACTCGAAGTTTTTTTTTGTAACTTAATCGACTTAGGGAAGTTCAACTGTATATATAATACATATAATTGCTTAGATTCTTATCCTCTGTTTAATGGTTTGCACCTTAAGGCTTTGATTTTTGCAAACTGCAAGAATATAAAATGTTCTGTTGCACTCGAACTTAGCCCTTCCTTATTTGTTTTTCTTTAATTTTTGGTATTTTATCTTTTGTTTCCTATGCGTTTCATCGTTCATGAGTTCAACAACTTAAGTCGGGAAATGTTCAGCGTTCCCATTCTTCACATCACTTTCTCACAAAAATATTTTGATAAGTTAATTTTTTTCTAAAATATATGCGTATTATTTCATACCTAAAATTGATATCAAAACTCAATTTTCTAAAAATGTTGCCAACCGAGCGTAATTGCAACCATGGAAATGAATGATAACAGGGAACTGTTAATTGATTACTTTAAAGCTTTTTCCTTAAGAAGTTTTACATTTATTTATTTACATTCTCATTTCTGTTTTAGCGACTTTTGTCAGTCTGCAAACGCCCACAAGCGGATATATCCGTAAGTTAGATAGGATATTTGAAATATTTACAAAATTATCGAATGTTCGATTTGAAGTAATAAAACGTTTCTTTTCCACAGAAATTCATCAGTGATTTATTGGATCGAGCAAAAACACTGTAGACTTACTGCTCTGACGCAACGGCACTTTATTAATATGTTAAAAATATAAAACCCGGAATGATGCAGATTAATTTTAGACCTAAATATATTATTTTGTAATAAGTAGTAAT